GTCTCTGCTGACTTACTTGGCCTTTGTTGTCTTGGGCTGCTCGCTTGAACCCGCAGCAGGGCTTGGGCGCTCTCAGGAGTCTTCTTTTGTGTCGGCCCTAAAACCTCAAACCTGTTGTTGCTTGTTTGTCATTGTAGGTTCGTTGTTGAAAGATTTACTCGTTTTTTGTTGCTCTTGGAAATGCAAATAGTACTCTGGTATCACAGCGCACACTTCTCAGGGTCGCGCTGTCTCCTGGCACGGCCGCTCCAGACCCGTCGCCATCTTAAAAGTCCTAGGTTCATATTTTTAAAAGATCTGTAAGACTGCAATGTGCAGAAGGATTGTGTAAAGTAAGAATGGAAGCCAGAGAGATTTGTTAGGAGGCTATTGCTGAGTCAAGGTAAGAGGCAATGGTTTAGAATAAACTGTGGTGGCAGATGGAAAGAAATGGAAAGATTCAAAACATATTTGGAGAACAATCAAGGGGATTTGGCAATGTTTTGGATAGAGATTTAGTTAAGGGCCATTTTCAAACTGACATGTTTTTAGGATAGTGGTATCACTTCCTTGAAATAGGGAACATTAAAGGAGCAGCAGTTTGCTGTAGGAAGATTACAGGTTCAAGTTTGAATAAGTTAAATTTGAGATGTCAGGCAGAAGTCCGAATGAAAATGACCCATTACGTTATTAGATTTTTAAAAATTTGTTTTAAATTCAGGTGCAACTGGAGTGCTGGCTACAACTTCTACAGGAGCTAGAGGTGAAAGCACAGCTTCCACATCAGGTAGTGGAATCACGCACCTGGACTCAAAGTAGTTACATTGATAAACATTTGGATTGTGTTCCAATAAGATAAGAACACCACAAATGACTTTCCACTTTCAATCTCAGGTTCCATGGGAGCTGCTCCTGGCTCCACACTTGAACCAGGAAGTACCACTGTTGGTAAGTAACCAGGGGATGTCAGATGTATTTCTTGACTTGTTTTCGTGCTCATTGGCCAATTAAAAATGGTAAAATAATTAATAACAATGCCACTTAAATAATTACAATGTCTTTAAATACATTATCTCATGTTACTATTTGAATAAATATCATTATTTAATTTGTTCAGGAGGAATTTAGACAAAGACCTTACCAAATATGGTCTAGGTTCTATAGCAAATTAAATAATGGAACCTACATTTTTTCTCATTGTTTACTGATTGCAAAGGTGTGCTCTTCAGAGTGATGCCATCCTCCTTTAAAACAAAATATACAATGATCTTTAATAACCCATCAATAAAGCTTGCTGTTAAAATTACAAAAGTTAAATGTTACCCATTTCTAACTACTAGAACTGCAGGAGTAGTTAATAAAAAGAGGTTTAAAATTCTTTTATGTAATAACAAACTGTGGCATTTGCTATTCTGAAAAAATATAATTTGGAGCATTTTATTTGACAAAACTGTAATACTATTGTTTTATAACTTTCTTTTATAGAATTATTTAATTTTATAAAATTATTTCAACCTGACATAAAATTCACAAATACTTATAGAGTAATTTTTTTCCCTAACATTAAATAAATGGACGAAATTATTTTTTCAAGACTGTAGTAAATTAGTATTTAACCTTATGGACTGGTAATATACTCAGTATCATACATAGTACTTGAGAAAGACATCATTTCTCAATTTGCAGGGTATCTAACGGAGACTTTAGTGACTAAATTGTTCATTATTAGTTTAAGGAGTAAATTGCTTGTAGTATTTTGTTTTCTGGCAAAAATTTATTCTATATTTATTCTAACTACTGTTATAAAGTCCAAATATGTAAATTTATTTTACAAACTAGTCACTAGAAAATAATTAAATAATTTAATTCAAACTAAGTTTATAATTATTCAATCTATGTTAATGCAAATGTAATATATGCAAATGTAAATGAATTGGCATGATTCGTACTACATATTGAATGCTATAATTTTATTATAAATTGTTGCTATGGCTACAAGTAGTTGATTACCGGACTATAGTGTGTGACTTTTGGGGCGTGGCATATATTTTATCATTTTTAGCATTTTCTAAGTTCAAGACTTAATCTTTAACTAAATAGACCCAAGCAAGAATTACGTGTGTATATGTTTTACTTGGAAAAAAAGGCAATAATTTGTTTTCATTTTGATAATTTGTAACCTATAATGATTGCTTAGAAAATAACTTCACGATTTCTCTTCTAAGAGAGCTCTCATTCTGACATGAATTTCTAAGATAGGCTTCTACGGGAATAATATACTTCTATTTTGTGATAAAAAATGTATATGTCATGGCTTTCGAAGCATTGAAGTGAATTTTTAAAATGAAATTCAAGTACATTCTTTAATCAAAATATGAATTTAATTTTTCCTTTATTAGGTCCAGATAACAGTATTTTACCAGAACTTTTTGTAGTAGTTGAAATTAAAATGACACAAAATATATGTTTCTGAACAATGTGGCTTGAAATAGCATTTCTGTCTTTTCCATTTGAGCACTAAAAAATATCTAAGGGACTGTGACATTCTTCTCAAATTATAATCTAATACATAAATTAATCTTTATAAACTGAAATAAGTAAATGCACATTTATAAATACATTTGTGTTTTTAAATTTTAGTGCCATCAAAACAGGCTGAAGTAGCAGGTGAGAAAATATGAGATTATAAGTGTGCATTTTTAAAAAAATGATGTTGTATTAACTAGAATAGAAAACATGGTAACAGAAGTTTTAATTTATCAGATTAACAAAACATGAACTTCAAATTAGGTTTTGGTAGCATAAGACTTTTTCTTTCTTTATTCTTATGCTTTCTTAAATCAAAATAAGGTGTATTGAATACCTTATATAACAGTTGAAGTCTACACTGGTTGTATACAAGTGCACAAACTCAAACAAAAATAACTTTCAAAGTATCCCCCTTATTAAAAAGAAGTAGCATTATATTTCTAAGCCTATTAGTGTTATTTGTCGCCTACCATTTCTACTGTCTCAGGTACTGAGCATATGTAAACTGTCTTTTGTACCAGAGAGCTAAAGCACTGACAGTAATCAAAGTAAACGGGAGGGAAATATCACCTTTAATCTTTGTCAGAGAATGCCAGGAAAGGATGTCTCAAGTGGAAAACATTGGCACTCTATGTGCTTTGGGAATAGTCCAAGGGGAGAAGCTCATAAAATTACGGATCTGCCAAGTGCCCAATAAAGGCTACTTGTAATAGCAAGGGAACATACATATGGCATCTAGATTCAGGTCTTTGGCAGAATGAGTCACTGTGGTGACCCATGGCCTCTGCATTTCAGGTATGACTGGGGTAGCTCCTGGCACAACTTTTGCCTCCAGAAGTTTCCACACAGGTGAGAACAAGCTGGGTGGAATTTTCCATGGGGACTTCTTTTAAGAAGATGTTTTCTCAGGTTTTATTTCTAGACCAGATTATCATTATAATAATCCATAATCCTTGATATTTTTTCAATCATGTCTCCTTTTCCTGTCTCAGAGGCCACAACTTCCCTAGGAGGAAGTAGAATCATGGAAGGTGGAATAGCCCCAGCCAAGCCTGTTAAGCTGCTAACTGCACTTTCTAATCATCTCCCAATAAACAGTGTTGCCTGAAATGTAGCCACACTGCTTTATCCCCCCCCTCCCCCCCTCCTGTTAAACATTCTTTTAGATGAAAAACAGCTACTAGATAACAAATGACCAGTATTAGGAGCCTGAAATTTTCTTCTACCTCAAGGAGCCCAATCTGGGGCACCAAGGACTCAAGTTACTGGCAGTCAGATACATGTGTGCTCAGAAAACTCGTTTCCTAGCACTGAACCTCAAAGGACATTCAAGAGTCTCGAATTTTGTCAGGAAATTTGCTGAGGGAAATAAATGCTATACAGGAAACATATGGATGAATTCTTGACATTAGAAACTCATAGAAAGAGCTTCTTCATAACATATTTAAGAAACAAAGAGTTTTTCAATAGGCAATTCCCAGGTCATAGCATGTTGACCACCCCTTCTTTCTTATTTTGGAAACTTCTGGTGGTGTCTCAGGCAAAAACCTTGAACCCGGAAGTTATACCATAGGTAAAATCCTATACTTGAAAATCCTGGAGGAGGCCACTTAGGTAATACAGTAGCTCTAGCATTTCCTTAATTCACTCCTTTCCTTCTTTTCTCTCAGAGGCAACAACTGCTACAGGGTCCACCAGAGCAGGACTACCAAAAGGTGTGTCGTCTTTTGGAGACACGGGGTTCCATTGGTTCATTGGGAAGAATATGAAGGCTGAGGACACATTTCCTCAGGGACGCAACACTCAAGGCCAAGCCAAGTTGCGAATCCCTCTGTGATTGCCTGCATTCAGGCCCCTCAGCCAAGTATTTCTGAGTCCTCGCTCCCAGAGCTAGTTCTCTGAAGACAGTGTGTCACTTCTTTGAAATTCACAAAATTTCTTTTCACAGGCACCACCATCTTTTTTCCTGAAGTCAGTAGCAGTTCAGAAGTTTCCAACACAGGTAGTATTGCATGAATAAAATGTAAGCTGCTGGCTCTTACTCCCATATAAGTGTTTTGTGCATGGGGTGTGTGTGTATGTGTGTGTGTATGTGTGCATGCACATGTGCATACTGTAAGGATGTCATAAAAAACAAGCACAAAGCATCACAGGCAGGAGGTAATTATTAGAAGAAACTTTATTTTCCATTTTCCTCTCTCCATAGTCACTCCTTGCACAGAAGGGAGCCATACAGCAACAAGTGAAACAGATGGGCATGCAATGTGCCCCCATCCCTCTGCCAGGGGGCTAGCATGCAGGGGTGTTCTTTTGCAAGGCAGATGTGAATAAATGAAACAAGGAGATGACATGAGAGAAGGACACTCATGGTTTATCACTTGGAAGGGACTTATATTGATGCGAGGCTATTAGCTGCTTCCATGACAAATTGGGACATTTTGCTAAATTTACTTTATCTTGTTTTAGGTGTCACTGGAGTCGGCTCTGAGACAGCTGTTCAAACAGGAATTTCCAGGACAGGTAGAGTGGAAATAATAAGAATATTATCTCTATGGACACTCAGAAGAAATGATGTTTCTTGTAAGACTGTTTTGATAAAATAGCACAAAGTACCTCTTTCCAGTATCCAACCCACCAGAAATTACTGCTCTCCTATTTCTTCCCACAGAGGCCACAACTTCCACAGAAGGTGCTGGCACCCCTGCAACGGGGTTCAAAATAGGTAAGAAGGAGCAGCTGGTGTCTTTGTTGTTGTCACTATGACACTCATAGGAGAGCCTACAGAAATAGTTCCTGAAGAGCAGTTGGTATTTACTTTTTGTATACTGCATTTTTGGCCAAATAATTCATTTTCAGTCTTGAAATTTTATCTGAAAAGCTGGTAATAACAGAGTCCAGAATCATGGCGATAATCCCTGAAGACAGGATGGTTATACAAATTGTTCTGAGTAATTTCTGCTGTGAAATTACAAACAGCACAGACATTTGAAAGGTGAGGGATGGTAAAACTTCCTATTCCTGAGAAAGAAAGAGCAGCTACAAGAATAGAGAAAACACACCCGCCCTATACAAATGTTGCATTTCACAAATGAAAAGCTAAATATTTTCACAATGTCTGGAGTTCTCAGCACATTCATACCTTCCTCTGTGTGTCCACGGCAGAGCAGGTACCACTGCAAAATCAGACAGCCAGGTCACTGGGAGTAGAACAGGTGAGCATGGGAAAAACCCACTTTGTCTCTCTGCCTTAGAATGCCAGGAAGCCTGTCTCGGGTCGAGAACACTGTCACTCAGATTGCTTTGATAAAAAAATGGTCATCACAGGGCTCATCATGAGAGAAGAGCCAAGGGAAATGCTAATTAGATGTAATAAGTATAGGCTTAGATTCTTTCTAGAGGTAGGTCTTTGGTAAAGAAACATTGAACACCATGGTGTTACAGTCTTCTTTGTTTTTCAGCCACCACTGGGTCAGCTCCTGACACAACTGTTGCCCCTGGCAGTTCCAATACAGGTGAGCCTGCAGGCAGGCAGGGAAATCTTCAGGGTCTTTTCATAGTTAGATGTCTCCTTTAGTGTTATCCTTTACAGGGTCGATATCATATTCTTTTAATTACCTTTAAATATCTTTCAAATATGTCTTTCCTATTTTTCTCTTTCTTAGAAGCCACAACTGCCTTAGGAGAAAGTGGGACAACCAGAGGTGGAATGGCCACAGGTGAGCATCACTAGGATATTGCATTACATTAATAATAATAATACCCAATAAAGATTGTGGCTTGAAGTGTATCCATGCCACTCATTTCTCCCAAATTGAGCATTGCTAGGTAAACCTTTATTATGTTTTATAGACTAAAGTTCAGAAGATCAAACTTTCTTTCTTCTTTCTAGTGCTTTAAGCAAACTGTCCTCCCACCCCCAGGACACTTATGTAGCCATTTGACTGACACTTATATAGATGATCAATCTAGAAACATAGCTCCTATCTCCCCATTACTGCCTCCTAGAGAAAAAGACCCAACAAGTAAAAATTCCTTTGGTAAATCTGTTGTGGGGAGGATATTATATGAGTTATAGGAGGAATATAGAGATCACCTTTTGGCATTAATAGCCCAGTTTACTGAAATATATATATATATATATATATATATATATATAAAACCTATCCTTTTATTTGCTTGTTACCCTCTGCCCACTTCATGATGATAAGAAAATGACTCAGGACTGTCCCTCCTTTTTTATTTGCTACCATTGCTGTAGTCTCTGGAAAGACCATGAAATCTGGGAAGTACAAAACAGGCAAGTCAAAAGGCACGCAGGGAACTCCACACAGCGGTTCCTCAGGTGATATGTTCCTAAGGTAAGATAAGCATGTACTTTCCGTGTTCCACACTTCATCCTGCTTTTCCTTTCTCTTAGAGGCCACAAGTGCCACAGGAAGCAGCAGGACCACCGGATCAGACCTGCCAGGAGGTAAATTTTGCAAGTCCGAGGCTTCAGGGTTCTCATCGTTTTTCTGTTTTGGTGTGCTACCACGAACAAGTAGACAAGAAGGGTACAAGGAAAGAGGGCTGCTTACTGTGCATTATCACTACATGTAGGTCTGACGTGCCCGGGTAGTTCTGCTAGAGAATTTCACAGTCTCTGTTATCTAAGCCAGGCTTTCCTCTGTGTCCGGCTGCACAGTGTTAGCTGTTTGAACACCTGGCTGAGGCCTACTGACCTGCAGCTGCCTCCCCAGTATCCCCTATTCGCTCCACTCTGCTCATCATGGTTCTCCAGAATATTATCACAAGCTGACATCTATGTAATACATATTCTGTACTTGTTTATTTTCTGTGTTGCCTTCCCCTCAAGTGTAAGTGACATAAAGCATTGATCTTTGTCTGTTTCCCTCACTGAAAAAAAAAAATCAGGCACTGAGGAAATGCCTAAAACCTATAAGATAAATGGCAGGTATATCCTTATTTTGAGTGTCGCTGTGTTACTTCAACAGCTACCAGCACAGTTTCCCTTGGTGCCCGCAGCAGTTCACAGGGTTCCAGGCCAGGTAGGATGGACTTGTTCAGACCACTAGGGGAAGGTACAGATGTCTCATATGAGTCTTAAACACCTCATTATCGCTATAATGCAAGTTACCCAAATGAGAATGTCTAGAAAGATGAAGAATTTTTTCTTCCCCTGGAACACCAGGCAACCAAGTCACTGGACACAATATTGATAAAGTGTAACTGAGCCCCTTTTCCTTCTTGAATTGGCTACAGTGGAAAGAATAGGGAGTAGCAGATTATTAGCAAATAGTTGGAAAAAAAAATATTCACGGCTTATTTCCTTCTGCAACAGAGGTTATCAGGAGAAGTTTCCCAGTGGTTTAGGACCACCTTGCTGCTTCCAATATTGCTTTCTCTATGAGCTCCTTTACTTTCTCATTTTAGGTACTTCTGGTGAATACTCTGGGACAACCATTACATCTGGAGGTTCCAAGACAGGTAGTTGCATGGGAAGGAAATCCTCATCTTGAACTCGCAATAACATTTGTAGACCTACAATGATAAAATAGCACCTCAATTGTTTTCACTAATCTCTTAAATTTCCATTCCTCATGAGTCTCCTGTTTTTTCCCTCAGAGGCCACAACTCTCACAGAAGGCAGGGGCAGTACTGGAGCTGAATCCAGGACAGGTGAGAGCCCATGGTTGGGTGTGACCATGAGTGATGACTGGCATTACCTTGACTGTCTAGGAAGTAGCTTTCCTGCGGACTATTGTGCATTTATTTAGGGACAATGCATTTTAGGCCAAGTAGATTTTCTTTAGATTTAATATTCACCTAAAAATTTACCAATACCCACTTTTGAAATGGGATGGCTGTTGTAATTATTCTGAGAAATTTCTTCTGTAACTTTACCTACAAACGTTTCCAGGATATTTGCAGAGCTAAAAACAGTTTTGATCCTGGCAAGCAGAGATAATGTAAATGAATCTTAGAAACTTGCTTACATAGAAGTTTCCATGCTCCAAAAGAAATACAAATAATTAAAATTTTCTCAATGTCAAACCCCCCCAGCAAACTTAACTGCCTGTCTTCCACCCTGGACACTAACACAGGTCAGTCTGGGAGAAAACCACCTGTCTCTCTCTTATGGAACGCCAGGAATATTGGCTACTCTGATTGCTTTGGTAATAAAATGGTTAATGAGAAAGTACACAGGGGTTATCGTGAGGGAAGAGCCAGGGAAAGAGCCAGTTAGATACAATGAAGACAGGCTTAGATTCTTTCCAGAGGTAGGTCTTTGGTAAACAAACATTGAACACCGTGGTGATCCCAGTCCTTTTTGTGTTTTAACCACCACTGAGGTGGCTCCTGGCACAACTGTTGCCCCTGGCAGTTTCGATACAGGTGAGCCTGCAGGAGGGCAGGGAGCCCTTCAGGGGTCCTCCAGTAATGAGATTTCTCCTCTTGATGTTATTCTTACAGCAGTAATATCATATTCTATTGGTGGCCCTTGAATATTTTTCAAATACGTCTTTCCTGTTTTTTTCTCTGTCAGAGGCTACAACTTCCCTAGGAAGAAGTGAAACCAGAGGTAGAATAACCACAGGTGAGCACTGCTAGGCTAGTGCATTAAGTTCTAATAATACCCAGTAAGGATTGTGGCTTGCAATGTTTCCATGTCACTCTTTTCTCCCATACTGAGCATTGTCAGGTAAAAACTTACCGTCTTTCATTGACTAAGTTCAGAATCTCAAAATGTCATTGTTATTGCCCATGCTTTAAGCACAGTGTCCTCCCACCCCCAGGTGTTCATGTGGCCATGTGACACACTCACAGTGATGTTTTGGAGACATTGTTGCTCTCTCCCCTTTACTGAACTCTAGAGAAAGACACCCAATAAGTAAAAATTCCTTTGCTAAATTTGCTGTCACAAGGATATTATATGAGGAATATGCAAAATACCTTTTGTCACTTAAGGCCCAGTGTACTGACATATGCAATAAATATACAGATTTCATACTTTTGTTTGCTTGTTACGCTACGCCCACTTTATGATGACAAAAAAATTGACCCATGACTACCCATCCCTTTCTTAACAGCTACCACTAGTGTCTTTTCTGGAAAGACTCTGGAACCTGGGAATTACAACACAGGTAAGTCCAAAAACACATAGGAAACTCTACACAGCAGCTCCTCAGCTGACATATTCCTGAGGTACCAGAACCAGAATACTTCTAAAAAGTTTGTGGGAAAATAGAATGAAAGATAACACTAATTTTTCCACAGTCTTTTTGAAGTCCCCTCGTCCGGCCCCGTGTCTCAGACGTCATCCCAGGCCTTCTTTTGTCTCAGAGGCCACAGGCTCCACAGGAAGGGGCGGGGCCACTGGATGGGAAGGGGTGGGAGGAGAACTTTGTCAGTCTGAGGTGCTGTTTGTCTGAGGCAGTCTGTTTTGGTGTGCTGAGGTGAACAAATAAGCGTGAAAGGGGGCCAAGGAGAGAGGGCTACTTCTTGTCTGGAGACACCACTTGTCTGTCTGACATGCCTGGGTAGTTCTGCTACAGAATTTCAGACTCTTGGTCATCTAAGTCAGGCTTTCCTGTGTGTCCTGTCTGACAGCATCAGTTCTTCACACACCTGGCCAAGGCCCAACGACCTGCAGTCGCCTCCCAACATGCCCCGTTCTGTCCACTGCTCACCATGACTCTCCAAAGGACTTATCACATGCTGCCATCTGTCTAATGTGTTTATTTTACTTCTTGTTTAGTTTCTGTGTTCCCTCTCCCACCAATGTAAATTCCAGGAGAATTATGTCTTTGTTCTCCTCACCAAGAGAAGAATACTTAAAAATTTAAGATGATAAATATATATAAGACACTGAGGAAATCCTTACGACATATAAGATGAACGACAGGTATATCCTTATTTTGAGTGTCACTCTGTTTACTACAAGAGCGACCAGCACGGTTTCCCTCAGGGTCAGCAGCAGTTCATGAGGTTCCAGGCCAGGAAGGAAGTTCACAAGCTTCCCCAGGTGGTTCTTCAAACCACCAGGGTAGGGTATAGGTGTGCCATATGAGTCTGTTCCTAAACATCTGCGTATCACACCATCCCACGTTATACAAATGAAAACGTTTAGAAAGATGAAGACTTTTTTTTCTTCCCCCTGGAACACCAGGGAACCAAGTCACTGGACACGACACTGGTAAAGTGTAATTAAGCTTATTTTCTTTCTTGAATTGGCCACAGTGGGAGGAAGAGGTAGTAGCAAATTATTAGTGAATAGTTTCCAAAAAAAAATTATTCATCATTCACTTCCTTCTGCAACAGAAGTTATTAGGAAAGGTCTCCCAGTGGTTCAGGACCACCTTGCTGTTCCAATATTGTTTGCTCTATGAGCTCCTTTACTTTCTCATTTCAGGTACTTCTGGTGAATTCTCTGAGACAACCATTACATTTGGAGCTTCCAACACAGGTAGTGGAATGGGAAGGAAATCCTCATCTTGATTGCACGATAATGTTTGTAGAGCTGCAATGATAAAACAGTACCATAATAATGTTTACCAGTATCTCAGGTTCCCAGACCTCATGGTTCTTCTCGTTCTTGCCTCAGAGGCCACAACCCTCACAGAGGGCAGGGGCAGCACTGGAGCTGAAGCCGGGACAGGTGAGGATGCACACTGCCTGATTAGGTTGTCACCATGAGGAATGACTCATTATTACCATGCCTAGTTAGAAAGTGACCTTCCTGTAGAATATTGTGCATTTATTTAATACAGTGTATCTTAAGTCAGATAGATTTTCTTTTGGATTAATATTTTCCTAAAACCTAGGAATATCTTCTGTAAAATGGGAGGGCTTGTTTCAGGATGGGATGTAAACAAAGTATAATTGTTCTGATAAATTTCCTCTGTAACTTTACATACAAACATTGCCAGGGTAGCAGAAGGAGCTCAAAGCACTTTTGATCCTGGGAAATAGACTTAACTTAAATAAGCCTTGGAAACGTACCTCCATAGAGGTTTCTGTGCTCCAAAACCTATACAAATGATTAGTATTTTGGTCGATGGCTATGAAAGATACAAGGAATAAGTTCTGGTGTTTATAGCACAGTAGGGTCGATAACATTATAGTGTATATTTTAAAATAAGTAGAAGACAGGATTCTGAATATTCTCGCCACAAAGAAATGATAAATATTTCAGGTGATGAGTATGCTAAATATTATAGTTTAATCATTATGCAATGTAATCATATATTGAAGCATCACACTGTATTCCATAAATATGTACAATTATCATGTATCAATTATAAATGACATAAATAAATAAAAATTATCAGCAAACAAATATTTTTGTCTTCAACTTCCTGGCAGTAAAATAGGAGAATATGGGGGAAAAAAATCTCCCTCTCATGGAATACCAGGAGCTTTGTCTCAAGTTTGGTTTCTCTGATTGCTTTGGTAATGGAGTAATTAATAGAAAAAGCATTGTTAGAGCAGGAGTCTGAGAAAGAATGCTTTGATGTAATAAAGATGTAAACATATTTTTCCTAGAGATAGGTCTTCAGGAGACAAACAGGAGTCGCTGTGGTGATTCCAGTCCCTTTTGTGTTTCAGCCACCACTGAGGTAGGCCCGGGCACAACTGTTGCTCCTGGAAGCTCCAACACAGGTGAGTCAACAGGTCAACCTGGAATCTTCCACATTTCCTCCCATAATTAGATGTCTCTCTGGTATTATTCTTTGCAGGAATATCACAATATTTTTGCCCTGATTTTTAAATATTCTTCCATTAACTCTTTCCTCTTTATCTCTCTCAGAGCAATAAGTGAACAGCAAGCGTTGGAATAGTCACAGTGATGCTAGACTAATACCAGCTCTTCCTGATAATTCCTTCAAATCATCTTCTGAAAATATATCTACACTAATTAACAATGCTGTATGGATAAAATTCAGGAAAAAAGAGGACAGTCATTATATTGCCTTTTTATTTCCTGAGCTTATGAGGGCCTTCACTAGACCATCATGAAGTCAAACTAATGACAGACAAATAGGTGATGTGGAGAGAAATGTTCTGTGTGCTCTCCAAAGAGAAGGACATGATAGTTGTGGACCGTCTCAGTAAAATTGCTATGGAAAGAACTATTCCATTGGACATATATTCATTACTTCTAGCCCTGCAAGTCTCAGAGAAATAGTTTGCTTTTACATGGAGAACTGAGAGTTCTATTTAAATCAAGTGCCAGACAGAGCTGATCTAGAGACTTTCATCCCTTTCTTGTTTTAGGTACTACTGGTGTGATCTCTGGAAAAACTCTGGAACCTGGAAGTTACAACACAGGTAAGTCTGAAAATACATTTGGAATCTGGACATTGGCTCCTTGGGTGCTATATTGTGACAGTAGCAGGGTGTGTCCTTCCTCACAACCTAGTCTTTACTCCCTCCTTTCTTTTCTCTCTCAGAGGCCACAACTTCCATGGGAGGGAGCAGGGCCACCCAAGCAGATCTTCCAGGAGGTGAGCTTGTTTAGTCTGTGGTTTACTGGTTTTTATCCAATCCCTGTGTGGTGGCTGCACAGGGCCGAGGAAAGGGGCCTGGATTTCCTCTGGGAACACAGTACTCCAGAGTCACAAACCTGGGTCTGCCTAGGAATTTCATGGCCTCAGATGTCTTATCCATCTGGGCTTCCAGGGGCGAGGTTTACAGAGCTAGTTGTTGGAGAGCAGGGATGAAAGCAATCTGCTGGCCAGCCCTGCCTATCAGGACCCAGATACATTTGTATGATTTATCTTTTTCCCAAAGCATTGACTAATATCTATCACATTGATTGTAAGCTGCATGAGGGGAGAGATCTTTGAACATTGTGCTCACTGATACATCCCAAGGTCCTAAAACAATATTATGCAGAAGAGATGCTTAATAGGTATTAGTGAAATGATGAAATGTATTATTTTGTAGATTTTCATTGTATATACTTTAATAGGTACCAACATGGTTTCACCTGGAGTTAGCAGCAGTTCACAGAGTTCCAAGCAAAGCGGTAGGACAGACTAAATAAAATCATCATATAAGAGTTTTGGAGTCAAGGAATTCTATTTTAAACTTCTGAATATCAAAATACCTCAAGTAATTGATGAGTAAAATTTAGGCACCTCTGCCACACGAGGGACCCCAGGGTATGGAAGTGAAACAAATGAGGGGGAGATAAGATCCCCTTCCATGTTCAGTGGGATCTATGGAAAGGGAACCACAGCAGCAACAATGGTCAATAGGTGGGCCAAGAAATGAAATGGTAGGAAGTAGTTCATGGTTCATTTCCTTCAGAAACAGAGCCCTTTCAGGAAAGGTCTTCTGGTGGTTCAAGGCCACATATGTACCTCCAATGCTACTTGAGGAGCTAGTGCTATTCAATCCCTTTACTTTTCTTGTTTCAGGTACTACAGGAGAATTCTCTAGGACAACCATCATATCTGGAAGTTCCCACGCAGGTAGGTTAATACACAGAAAATCTCCATATTTAACCTCATAATAAAGTTAGTAGACCTGCTCTGATGAAATATCAACATCACGCTTTCTCCAGTATCCCAAATCCTCAGACCTCAACATTCATCATTTTCCTCCCTCAGAGGCCACAACGGTAACAGAAGGCAGCAGCCATCCTGGAACTGGGTCCCACTCAGGTGAGAACGAGCAGCTCCCACTTCGGGGTTTGGCATGAATTACCACTCTCTTTTGGCTCACCTGTTGGGAGGTGTGTTTTCCTGCAGAGTGGTTTGCATTTACAGGTACTTTCCGTATTTTCTTACACTGGACATATTCTGGAAAAGCTCTCAGCATCCAGCCTCATGGTTGTAACTTTCTAAAGATGGGCTGGTGTGTATTTGGCATGAGGGGTTTCTCCTGTGATGTCATACACATCACTAAGGTGTTGGGGGAGCCAAGGAATATTGTATTTCTGGGAAGAAGAGAAAGCAGTGTGAATCCTGGAAGCAGGCTTATCTTATATAAAGTTTTCTTACTCAAAAAAGCAACACTGGGCATTAAATATTTTCCCATATTCTTGGCAAATTTAAATATGTTTCTGGTTTTTATCCCACAGCAGGCACCACTGCAGCACAAGGAGGCCAAGCAACTGGGAGTGTGACAGGTGAACCTGAGGGAAAGCCACCTTGTTTCCCTGTCTTAGAGTGATGAAATGTCATGGGAGGGGGCCTCAGCTTGGGAACATTACTATTTTGATTGCTTTGTTCCTGATATGGGTCTTACAGAAGGCATATGATTTTCACCTTAGGAAGCAGTTAAAGGGCCCTTTGACATAACAAAGATATGCCCAGATTCCGTCTAGAAGCAGGTCTTCAGAAGACAAACATGTGTCACTGTGATGATTTCTGACCTTTTGTATTTCAGCCACTACTGGAGTAGCCCCTGGCACAACTGTTGCTGCTGGCAGTTCCAACACAGGTGAGTCAATGCGGTGTTGGGAAATCTTCCACCAGTCCATGTATGTGATGAGACCTCTCCTCCAGGATAGTCTCCCTGTGTGGGAGAACTAGCAGATCTTTTCCATGGTCCTTAAGTATTTTCCAATCATCTCTATCCTGTTTTCCTGTCTTGTAGAGGCCACGACTTCCGTAGGAGAAAGTGGAACAACAAGATTTGGAATAATCACAGGTGAGCTCTGCTAAGGCACTAACTGTACTTTGTAATTACTCCCAGGAGACTTGCCTGAAATATACCAAAACTCTGAATTTCCCATATTTGGTATACAAGGTAAAAATTTAGCAGATGTTCAATATTTGACATCAATAAGTACAGTTCAGATACTTCAACTTTTCCTCCTATTTTCTTGTGAATCAAGGACCCTTCATCAGGGCACAGGGACTGTTCCCTGACAGTTATATGAGTGATTTGTGGCCACATCTGGCTCTGTAACCAAACCCTAAAAAATGGACTCATTTGTGGAGGCCTTTCTCTGTAAACTTACCAAGGGAATATGTTCCATGGGAAATATATGGATTAACTCTTAAAGCTAGAAAGCCCAGAGAAATAAATTTACTGGTGTATTAAAAAAAAAAAAAAAAAAAAAAACACAAAGTTTTTTTTTTTTTTCCAATGGCTAGGCTCCTTTCATGAAGGGCAATGAATGGACCAACCTTTTCTTATTGCTTATTGTAGGTACTACTGAGGGCATCTCTGGCAAAACTCTGGAACCTGGAAGTGCCAACACAGGTCAGAGAGTCCAAACATTGCCCTTTGGGCAAAATAGCCCATGGGATCCCCAGAATGTCCTGTTCAGTCTTTATACCTTTCATTCTTTTCCCTCTCAGTGGTCACAACTGTGCCAGGAGGCAGCCGGGCCACCAGTGCAGGACTGCCAGGAGGTGAGCTTTTCAGTCTGAGGCTCCCATCATTTCTCCGTCTGGGGTGCCACAGTAAATGAATATATATGAAGGCACGTGAAGGAGGGGCCTGCATTTTCTCTAGGGCCATATTGTGTCATATCAACCTGGGCAATTATTCTGTTTGAGAATTCCATGACTCATATCTCAGTCAAGGCTGTCCTCAGTGTCCTGGCTTACAGAGACATTTTTTTTTTTTTCTGCAAAAAGGCATGAAAGCATATTGTATATATTCTACCCCCCCACCCCAGGACTTCCAATCCTTCTTACCCAATTTACCTTTCTCCCATAAATTACCTCTGTTTATCATTTTTCTCATTTACTTTTACATGAATGATCTTTGTTGTTTATTTTCTATCTCCCCTCACTAGAAAGCTTCATGAAAGCAACTGATTATTAAAGTGCCCCAAGTTGTATCAAAGAGTCAGCTTATAAAGATTAAGTCCATGCTTCATCCCCTCCCTTAGGCACCTCTGGCTCACCAGGGGGCCACGTGCCACCAAGTGAAACACGTAAGGATGATTTAAAGCCCTGTTATCTCTTTAGCGTACAGGGAAAGGGAAGTTCAGTGGCCACACATCCATCCCCTGATGGCCTGGGGAATGAAATGCTAGGAAGTTGTTGATTTTATGTTCTCTTCAGGGACTGAATGTCCTCAGGAAAGGGCTTCCGGTGCTTTAGGGCCACATTGATGCTTCCAGGATTACCAGGGGAGGTAATGCTCTATTGTTTCATTTACTTTTTCGCATTTTAGGTACCACTGGAGAATCTTCTAGAACAACCATTATATCTGGAAGTTCTAACACAGGTAGGTTGACAAGAAGGAAATGTCTCTTATTTAATCTCAAATGTCTTATCTATCTCTCTTTAAGGGCTGTTCTGACAAAGCAACACCCCAGTATCTCCTCCAAGTATCCCAAATTCCCAGAATTCTCTTTCTTCCCTCAGAGGCGACAGCTTCCACAGCAGGGACTGGTACTGCTAGAACTGGATTCAAAACCGGTAAGAATAAACAGCCCACAATTGGGGGTCATCAGGTAAGGACTCTCTAAGCTTTCCTTGAGAGCGTTTGAATTTTATTTACGGACACTCCAAGTGAGTCAAAATAGGTCTGCTATAAGAGATAAAATCTTTTTGAAAATCTGCTAATTCTGGAATTGAGACTCACTGCTCCCAGTCGGAGGATGGGATTTCTCCACTGGTATTAAAAATATCACCAGCATTTTAGCTGGAATCCAGAAATTTTTCCTTTGTGTATGTTTGTGTGAGTGTGTGTGTGTGTGTGTGTGTGTGTGTGTGTGTATGAGAGAGAGAGAGAGAGAGAGAGAGAGAGAGAGAGAGAGAGAAATAGAAGAGCCCCATGGAACCAGGACACACGTGTGTATACATGTGGATATGTATATGTACAAAAATTTGGTTGCTCAGTATTTTCTCCTGCATCTGAAGTTTGCAGCACATTCAAACATTTCCCCCCTCTTTTCTGCCTCCCAGCAGGCATCACCACAGTGCTGGAGAACCAAGCAGGTGAGTATTGGGGAAAAGCATTTATTTAGCCTTCCTTTCATCAGATTCCAGGCAGAAGTACCTCAAGTTGGGAATATTGTCTATTTGCTTTGATTATGGTTTGTTGAGAGCAGGTACATATGTCAAATTCACCATCTGCCATGTGCTCAGAAAAGTAGAGTTTTTTATGGCAAATAAATAAAATAAAATCCCTTTTTGATTTGGATCTTCATTTGACTTAGTGACTCATTAAGTGACTTGTGATAACCTTAATCCTTTTGTTGTTTCAGGCACCTCTGGGGTAGCTGTTGGCACAACAGTTGCCCCTGGAAGTTTCAGCACAGGTGAGTGCACAGTTTGGCAGGAAATCCTTTCTTGGGATATGTCTTTCCTTTTGGCATTTTTATGCAGAAGCACCACCATTCCATTGCAAGCTCTCTGAATCTTTTCCATGTATGTCTTTCCTCTCTCAGCAGCCACATCTTCCCCTGCTAGGGCTGGAACTCCTGCAGGTAAGCAGTGACAGGCCACTACCTACTTCTCCAAGGACAAAGTTGCCTGAATAGCATCTAGTATTTGTACTTCCTGTGAAGAGCATTTTCTGAACAAAAATCACCAGATAGCCAGGATTTTACCTAGTAACTAAAGGTCAGACACTCAGACTTTTTTCTCCTTCTTTCCGCTGCTTCAAGGAGACATCACCATGGAGCTAAGGCACTGAAGATCAGTTAGGTGATTGGGAGAGAAATGTCTTTCTTTCTTTCATTGATATCTAAAGAAAGTAATTGAGCTGTTGAAATTTTTGTCATTAAATTTTGTATGGTACATAAATAGTACATGGAAAACATATAGATTAAACCCTGGTTCTAGAAACCTCTGAAAATAGCTTGTTGGCATATTGAGAAAACACATGGTTCTGTTACCCCATGCTAGGTCATTTCCTTCTCAATATGGGTAAAGAATTGACACATTGATTTTTTTCACTCTTTAAATCCAAGTTCCAATATGGCAGCCACTGGCAAATTCTTGCACGTGAAGAGTCTAATACTTAAAGCAATAAGTAATGATGATAATAGTAATGAGTATCAATCATTTATGAGGTTCTTACTATGTACAATTTTTATTAAGAAGTTTACATATCTTATTCTGATTAAGGACTACCTAAGGTCCAATTAAGAATCATGTTAGTTAAAAGTTTTTATCCCTACTTTTTAAACAATTTAACTTGTATATTGAAAGTTTACATCACTTTTACAGTCAAAAAGACTTTTTTTCTGACTTAATAATAGGTGGTAAGAAATTTTCAGTTGTGTTTATCTCAGGTAGACCCATCACCTTAGTGCATCCCTCTTCCTTAAAACTCGATTCATTTTGGTTTTCTTTCCTTTTTTAAGAGACTACAGCTTTCCTAGGAGGAAGTGGCATCACTGGAGTAGAAATAAAACAAGGTGAAGATTTGGGGCTTTTCATCATTTATTGTTATGGTTTGATTTCAGGTTGATGGATTTAATAGAGGAAACATTTTTTTTAATAAACTTTTTATTTTGGAATATTTTTAAATTACAGAAAATTTGCTAAGATAATACAGAGAATTCCTGTAAAGTGGAATTTTAAAATTTCTTTTGAGGCTATACTACTTCAAGGGAACCAGGATTTCTTTTTGGATTTGGATTTGGAACCACTTGGGCCCAGCTTTCCAAAATGCTTTCCTTTCTTGGGAACTAACCTCAGAGTTCTAGGTCTCTGGAGAGGACAGTTATGGTAATCCTGGCTCTGAAATGGTTTTCCCTCTGAAAAGAGCTTAGAAATCATTAAGATTTCATACTTTAGTTCAAAGATGAAATTTGAAAATATACATTTGTTTCCTTTTTTTTTTTTTGTTAGGAGCCACTACTGTACTACCAGGAAGTAAGACAGGTAAACATGGGAAAAGCTTTTGATATAACCTTCAACCTTGGAAAAAAGAAATAATCAGGGCAGGGATATTAGCCCCTGCATTAACCTTGGCCTTGCAAAGGTACACCGTAAACATGGCAAATGTCTCTACAGGAAGTGTCATTTGCTGTCTTAGAGTCACTGATAGGCATGCTGTTGGCCATGTTCTTCTAAGGATTACAAAAGTGTCACCAGGTTATCTTTCTCTTTTTTCCCTACCTAGGCACTGCTGGAGTACCCTCTGGTACAACATTTGCACCTGGGAGCTCCAACTCAGGTAAATCAACAAGCTGGGAAGGACCACTTGTTGGGAAGGGCTCCTCAACTGGTTGTCTCCCCGGGGGAGATTCTTCAAATCTTTTCCCTTGCTACATTCTTTTTTCCTTTTCTCAGAGGCTGCCACTTTCTCAGGAATCACTGAAGCAGTAACAGTCACAGGTAAAAATGGGAAGTCTGTGAATTTCTTTTAACAATTCAAATTAGTTGAAATAAATACAGAATAATTTCTGCCTTATGGAAATCTTTGTCTGAGCCCTCAAATTTCAGAATATCAGTGCTTTACCCAAATCCTTACATTTATATACAGCAGAATATTTTCTCTTTTCTCTTCTTCAGGAGCCAAGACCGTTGTATCAGGGAGCCAAGTCTCTGACAGTCTAACAGGTGAGCATGAGAAAATACTTATATTCAGGATAAGGAGACTTCTAAAGTGACATTTTGGCCTTTGCATTTTTTGGAAAGAAAGGTATTTGTGGAAAGGTAGAAGAGGAACCCTGGAAAAGGACTTTTATGACTTAAAACAAACAGATAATGTTTTTCTTCTTAACCCTTCTTTTCATGTAAACAAATGATGTATCAGTCGGTCCCTTATTCTTTGTGATTGTCAGATACCAGGGCAGTAGACTCTGGAACAACCGTTGCACCTGGAAGTTCCATTACAGGTAAGTGAATATTTCCAAAAGCAATCATCCCTTTGTTTACCTCAAGGAGGAATATGTATCCCCGAACATAATTTCCACTTTCTTCTTCCAGAGGCCAAAGCTTCCTTAGATGCCATCAGAGCCACTGTGATGAAATCAGTGAGCGCTAGGAGTCCCAGATGTTAGCACTGCACTGAGTACCATCACGAGCTTGCCTCTGGATCTCAAAGATTGTTGTACAGGAAGGGCAGGCCGTCTAGCCCATACCACAGGCCAACCATGCTGTTGGGACACACCCCACAGCTGGGGTCTGGGCCATCCTTTTCCAATGCCTGGCCTTGTGTTGTGGATTTCCAGAGAGAGTAGTAGTAGTAATAATTCCCTGGATGATTAATCTATTGGATATTATAGGTATTAGTACAGAATCAGCAGGAGTCAACACTGGGCCAGAAGTTTCTGTGTCAAGTAAACAGATGACTAAAATGAAATCAGAAATTGTTTGCCTCTGACATTTTATATTGAGTTTTAAATATTAAATGGCTTGATGGTTGCTTCAGTGATTTATTAAAGTTCAAAACATACTCAGAATCTTTGTCTTACTTTCAATCATCAGGAATCACCTTTGGAGCATCGGATAACCAAGTCACTGGAAGTAAAACAGGTAAATGTAGTAAAAATTTCTCTGTCTCTCCTGTTTGAAGATTTTACACTATATTTGCTAAGTAAGACTTCCGGAAGATAAGCTTCTTGTAAAAAAAAAGTCTTCATTTGTTTTGTTCACTGATTCTAGTACTAAATAGGGCTCAGTAAATATTTATTGGGTGGATGAGATAACTGATACTCGGGAAAAATACATAATTCAGACCAGGCGCAGAAAGGCCAATGCAAGGACATGCTCAAAGGATGCCACATGGACAAAGTCGTTTGTGTGCATGGTGCCTCCCAGAGCTGTCCACTGCACAGCACATTGCCCAGTGATGTGGCCCTGGAAATATTCATTTATCTCAAACCCAGATGGCCTCAATGTAAAAGATTCTTCATGATGATGCCATGGCCTTCTCATTTCGGGCACCACTGGTGTGGCCTTGAGCACAACTGTCGCACCTAGAAGTTCCCGTACAGGTAGGCTAGCAAGCTAGGAAGAAAGTGCCCTTCTGAAATAAGGTGATGAAAATGTCTCACATAGCTCTTCTCATGCAAGAGCATCACAGTGTATTTTCCCTTCATCCTAAATCCCCATCCTTTACCTGTTTTTTTTCTTTTTCTTCCAGAAGCCACAACTTCTACAGGAATCAGGAAAACAGGTGAGAATTAATGGTGTGTATATGTGTTTTGGGGTGATGATGAATTATAATTATATTTTGCTTCTTAGTTGGATAGTTTCTTGGGGAGAAGATTTTTAGGAACTCTCATCTAAAAGCAACAGTGTTTTCTTTTGTTACTTGATTTCGAACCAATTTGGGCAGATTTTTGAAGTCTTTCCTTTTCCAGGGTCAGCCTCACACATGAAGATTCCTGCAAATGAGAGTGGAAGTGATAGTTGTCTTGAAAGTTTTCTTTTTTCATTTGTCATTTTAGGAATCACCACAATACCAGCGGGAGGAAATACGGGCTCTGAGGGTTCTATTTCAGGTAAACAGAAGACCAAAATGAACCCAGAAAGTTTACCTTTAATATAGTATATTCTTCCTTGAGCCACAAAGTGACTAAAATATGTACTGCTTATACCAGTAACTCGAATCTCCCTTTACACTTAAATTTTTCCTCTTTTCAATCATTAAGGAGCTACCACCAGAGCATCGGTAAACCAAGAAACTGAAAGCACAATAGGTAAATATGTTGAGAAAGGGGCTACTTGTCTTACTGCCATTAAAGTCCACAAAAGGGGGGGTCCCATGTTGAAGAATTTGAATTTTTATTTGATAAAACTATGCAAAAAACCCACAAATAATTCGCCACCAGTTGAAAAAGCCCAGAAGAAAAGCCAATTCCCTCCCACCTCAGCCCCTCCCCAATTGCAGGACAAGTTACCACTTCCTTTCTGTTGCAGGCACCACCAGGGTGGCTTTCAGCACCACCCTTGAACCTGGGACTTCAAACCCAGGTGAGCCAGCCAGCTGTCGAGAATTCTCCGTGGAGACCTTTAGTAGCAAAGAATCTCTCATGTATTGTTACCAAGAAAAGTATATCCTTATCTTTCCTTTGAACACTAAATATTTGTCACCTCATATTTTTCTCTCTTTCCTCTCTTAGAAGCTACAGCGTTGTCTGGAGGCAGTGGAACCCCAGGAAGTGAAATAAGTACCGGTGAGCGCACAAGCTTCCTAATCTCTCCACTTTCACTTAAAACAATAGCATTAATAGCTTACACTTCCCAGCACGAACTGTGTGTCGGGCACTATTCTACGTCCTCCTCATTATTACTTCTTTTATCCCTTACCTCAAACTGTGAGTACATACTGTGGTTTTCACAGATGAGAAAACCTATGGCTTAAACCTCTTGAAATCTGCTTATGCTTGCTATTTTATTAATATTAAATACTGTTTTAATCTAATATTAAATTAATCTAATATTAAATTAATATTAAAGATATCAATTTGCCCAAGGTCACACAGCAAGTAAACAGCAGATTTTGACTCAGTCTGGCTCCAGAGTCCATCCTCTTAACCATGATACTATACAACTATGACACTATATTATGAGATTTCTTTGTCACATGTCCAAACTTTTCTAGAACACTAAAATTTCTGTAACATCAAGACTTTACCCAAGTGAAAATTCAACAGGTAATCAGTCCTGCTTCATGTCTTCTTCCAGGGGTGTCTGGTAGCCAAGTCACTGGCATTCAGCCAGGTAAGTAAAAGAAAATGCCTTTGCTTCCCTAATATTGAACCTAGACAAAGGAGTGATGTCACTGAGACTCCACTGCCACCCCACAGTGCACCCTCTCCCCACCAAGTTTACATTGAGAATGAAGCATTATGTCAGCAAATGCACAAAACAACTCTGGAACAAGCTATCCCTGAAAATGATCTTTTAGCTCAATAAAGAATTCTATAGTTTTCCCATCCTATTACAGAGCATGCTCTTCTAACTATAGGAATAAAATGGACATAACGATACCCTTCCATTTTGCTCTCAGGTACTACTGGAGTGGCCCCTGGCAGCACCATCTCACCTGGAAGTTCCAATACACGTGAGTGAATGAGGAAACAGGTGCTGTGATTCTTTCTGGGCGATAGGTCTGGAGCAGTAGCGCACTATACCTTTCTACGACTTTCCATTAGCTCCCACTACTTTCTTCCTTTTCATTCTCTGAAGCTACCACAGAAGGCGGCATAACCAATAAAAATGGAATTGGCAACTCTTGAATTCCCACCAATTTATATTCGGCTTTTGCCTTCTCATAGAGACATTTATCAGACGAAGCTTATATTTATGAAAATCATATCTTTTCTTCTGGCAGCAAACTTCCTACTGTATTTCTGAAGAGGCTCAGAGTCCAGAAGGCTTTCCCTTTTGACATTCAAGCTATTATCCTGGTGTCATATGGAGGCAATATATATTTAGGGGAATGGAGAGGGTGGAAGTAACTTTCAAGCTTCAGGTCTATCATATTTTGGATTTCAGATGTTATATGTTCATTTACGGAATATAGTTGAATACATCTCACACAAAAAAATATTCTTTCTATTTCTCATCATTAGGAGCCACCACTCACACACCTGAGAGGCCAAATCCTGAAAGTGAAACAGGTAAACATGGGAAAGGGTCTGAGACCTCTGACATTTAACCCCAGGGAAGCAAATAATCAAAGCTGGATCATAAGCTAATGTGTTTATTGTGACTCTGAATTTAAAAAGGGGGAATGCACTTCATGTTGATCAGAAGCCCAAGAAGGGGCTTCTGCTACTTTCAAGTCACAGGCAGTCATTGTTGGCCATGCTGTTCTTGGGATGACAAATGCAACACTGTTTGGATTCTCTCTCTCTCCCCCCCCCTTCCCTCCCTGCCTCACTCTCCCCCTCTCCCACCCCTCCCCTCTCTCTTTTCTACTTCAGGCACCACTGGTGTAGTCTCTGGGACTACAGTTACATCTGGAGGTTCCAATGCAGGTACATCAATAACCTAACAAGGACTATAAGGAGCTTCAGTAATGAGATACTCCCTTCTACAACCCTTCCCCAAAACACACACTCTCTACCATACCCTGGGGGACACCACCAAACTTTTCTCAGACATATGACTGTTCTGAATTTACTTCTCTTCTCCTTTTCTCCTTTCACTCAGAGGCCACAACTTCTTTGGGAGGTGTTGGAACCACTGAGTCTGGAATTAAAATAGGTGAACACTAGCAGTCAAATATTTATTTTTCTCTTCATCTTTTAGTAAATCATATTGGCTATAATGAACTTAGTGAAAATGTTACTCAATTTCTCTTTTTCTCATGTGAATTGCTCTTTGTGTATTTGGAATACAACGGCGTGATAAAGATCATGCATGATATATCACTGACGGCAAGAAAGTGCTTGATATAAACCTTTTAGTTCACTCGAGAAACCCATCAATTTGTTCTTAACCAAATCCCAGTTTTAGGTATAAGCAAATTCATAAATCAGTTCTCTCCTTTGGTGATTTCAGTTACCACTGGGATTACTATTGGCACAACCACTGCATCTGGGAGATCCAACAAAAGTGAGTCATGAAAGAGTTGGAGACCCCTGCCCGTATGAACTTCAAAGGACGTGATGTCTCCCACAGAGATATTACCTAAAGTAATACAGTTGCACATTTCCCCACATGTATTCCACATGACTTTCTCCTATTTCTTCTCAGAGGCTACAACTTCTTCAGAAAGTTCTTCTACAACCTCTAGAGTCATAATGGCAACTGGTGAGTGGTTCACTTCCAGCCTTTTGAGTTCTCAACCATTATCTGCTTGAGTTTGTGGCAGATGATGAATGACTGAGAAGACGGGCTGAAAGAGGGTTTGGTATTTCATTTGAAGAGACAATAGAGTAGTCCCCCCTTATCTGTGGGCAATAAGTTCCAAGACCCACAGTGGATTCCTGAAACCTCGGATACTACCAAACCTGATGGCCATCAATGAGAACATGTGTCTGTTTATGTCCTCCACCTACAAATACTAACATCTTTTCCATCTTAACTAAGCCATAGCTTTTGCAGTTTGAGGTATGACAGCAAAACTGGCACAAATTTCGTTTTCCTTCTTCACAATTTCAGTCTAGAAGATTCATTCTTATCATAGATCTTAGCGACCTCAGTTTTTAATTTTTTTCTTGCATTACTTAGTAGAGAACTTTTACCTTTTCTCTTAAAGGAAGCACTTTATGGCCTTTCTTTGGCATATGCAAATTGCCAGCTTCACCAGTCTTGCACTTGGGGGCCATAGTGGAGTAAAATAAGTTTACTTGAACACAGGCACTGACACACTATGACAGTTGACCTGGTAGCTAAGAAGGTTACTGACTAGCAGACAGTAGAATACACAGCATGGAGACGCTGGGCAAAGGGATGATCCATGGCCTGGGCAGGATGGTGTGAGATTTTATCACTCTACTGAGAACAGTGTGCAGTTTACAACTCATGAATTGTTTATTTCTGGAATTTTCCATTGAATATTTTCAGGCCCTGGTTGACCGCAGGTAAATGAAACCTCAGAAAGCAAAACCATGGATAAGGGGGGACTACTGTACATCAGATCAGTCAGGCTTGGGCCCTTGCTCTTCAGACTGGTTTTCCCCATACACCAGCATTTAGGTGTGATTTTAGGGGCTAAGAATGATGTGTTGCTCTCAATACTTTCTCCTTCTTGCCCTTTGTAGGTACTGCTTCAAGGTCAGCTGGAGTTTCCAGGGTCCCAGGAAATTCCAGTCCTGGTTAGTAGAGATGTTTAATTCACTCATCTTGGACACATTTTCATGGGTTTATCCTCATGATTAAGGTCCCAACAAATTTAATTTTTTAAAATTCACACCCTTATCTCCCATGCAGTCCCCCTCTGAAGCACCAGGGAGCCAAGTCACAGGAAGTAAAACAAGTGAGCAGAGGAAGAGCCCTTCTTTTCAAAGTATTAAACCATGTAAAAAGGGCTCCAGAATGAGTTTTTCCATGTTGGTTTGGGAGAATGAGAAAGTCTGTGGGAAAACATGGTGTTTGCTTCTCTTTGCATAAAGAAGCCCATTTACTGCTTATAAGAAACATGAATTTGTCCAAGTCCATGCTATTCAGAGGGCAAAACACTTATTTATTGCTATGATTTCTCTCTGTCTCTCTAATTTCACAATCTATGTGTCTCTAAATCTCATCTTCATTTCCAATTTTCATTTCCGTTTCAAATTCCACTGGAGTAGCCTCTTTTATCATGTTTGTTACTGAAAATTCCAACATAGAATAGTCCAAGTTACCAAAGAAAGCTTCTATTAGTATTTCAGGCAAAAAGGGCATCTTCATTGAGAATATGTCTTCTACTGTCACAGCATAAAATATTTTTCATATTTCAAAATTATTTAAAATCACATTAATTTTTTTTTCTTGTAGGAGCTACAACTTCAGTGCTAAGTAATAACACCCCTGGGAGTGGAATACAAACAGGTCAGTCATTGCATGGCAGATTGTTGGTGTTTCATTGATTACCAGTGGGATTTTGCCTCCAACAGGAGATGATAAAACTTTTCATTTAAAGACTTACTTGAGCCAAGTTAGGTTGGTCATATTAATGCTCTAGAATGCACTGGACTAAGATTTTATTAGATAAATCTTTGTTAGAACAAAGCTTCCCAGAAAGAGATACTTCAATGTGCACAGGATCTTTTTAGGTAAAATATTTCCATAGATATCTTTGCAGGCACTGCTATCATATCAGGTAAAGTAACCAGTTACCAAGTAGTTTCCAGCCCAGGTAACTGAAGATGACTGAAATAAACTTAGGACATTGGTGGGGGGAGAGGTTGATACATTAATATTTTTTGTTTTTTCAGTGAAAATGATTTTCTCTATTCTATTTAAAAACACTTAGAGGTAAAGTAGCCTGAATTGTTCAAGAAATTATAATAATCCAGTATGCTTGTGAAATACAAACCAGATGTTGGGAAAGCACTGCAAAAGAGGATGCTAGGATGGTTTTTTTTGAGTTTCTAGATGGCAAAATTGTGACAGAAATATCCTGAAATGAGGAAAAACAGAAGATCACCAACCAATTCTGTATCGTATAATGATATTATTATAATATATGGCTTAGTTATAACAAAATGAATTTAAAACTTGATTTTATGGGCAATAAGGAGCAATTGCAAGATTTTAGGTAGGTTGACTACCATGCTGAGGTTGGATTTTTTTGGAAGGTTTATTAGTCACAAGATAGAGAATTAATATGAAGGAGAGTAAAAGAGTAAGGGTGGAGGCTTGTCATCCAATTTGAAGTGTGTTAGAATTGAGAGATCCTTAGGGACTGAAGTAAGGAAGTCTTGTTAAAAATCAGGGGGCAGAAGAAGATTGTAATGTATTGGCAAGTTAGAATCAATCAGCATGTTTGAAGGGATGAAGGAGAGAAGAAGTTTGGGTGAGTCCTGGTTCTTAGTTTGGGTTCTTGGGTGGATAGATGATGGTGCCATCTACGAAGTTTGGAAAAATATTGGAGGAGTAAAAAAAAATGATAATTGACAGAAGCCATAGTGAGAACAGATTCTGATAGTTTGAATTTGAAATGCTTGGAGGTAGTGATGACCAACAGAGCTGCTGAGGGTGGGTGGAGCCCAGAAGAGAGGCCTATCTGTACTGGAGACAGAGATTTGTCAGTCATTTGCTTACAAATTACATTTGAAACTAGGGACACTGAAGAGTCTTTTTAGAGTAAACACATAGAGTGAGAAGAGGAAACAAAGAGTTCCTTGGGCTCACCAGCATCTAAAAGGTAGGCAAGGGTAAAGGAGCCTGAGAAGGGGAGGAGTTTGAGTTCAGCCAATGTGTCCTGCTCAGCATAACACAGAGGACTGGAGTATTGGGCTGTACCACCCTGTGGCAGGACACTATGCTGCCTCTAATTTAGGGAGTCAGAATACCAGATCAGGCAAGATCAACCAGAATTTGCTGGGAACATTTTTTTAAAAAAAATAAGATTAATTTCCAGAGAACCTAGCCTCATAGTTATAAAACTTTGAAAGTAGAAGGGGGAAACTGTCCTGCAAGAATTAAAATATCAAGATTTTCAATCCTTGCCATTTTTTAACCTTTAGGAGTCACCAGCATAATTCCAAGAAGCCAAACTACTACAATTAAGACAGGTGAGCATGGAGAATTGAAATGGTGAGGATGGGGAAGGCCCCCATCTCCATGACACTAACTCTAGAAGAGAAGGCTCCCAGAAGACTGATGTTTACCATAGAGAATTTAATAGAACAGGGAAAAACATGTTTATTTCACCTCTTGAGACAAGGAATCCTGGAAAAGAATATACTGTTTCATAGAAACACATGGATGTGTCCTAAACCATGATCTCTATCCAATAAGGAAGACACTGCTCATGTTACCCCCACTTCCTTCTCTCTCTCATCCCAGGCTCCACTGGGACAGGATCTGGAGATTTCAGGATAGGTAAATCAAGTAGCAAAAGGAATTCTTTATTAAATGGCTGTAGGGAAAGATCATATACTACCATATCATTTTTATGTTTGCAAACTCTCCATCTTCTCAATTTTTCCTCTTTTGCTCTCACAGAGGCAACAACTTTTAAAGGAGGGGTTGGAACCACTGAGGCAAGAATTTCATCAGGTGAGTTTTGCCAAGTTTTGCATTCTTAATGATTTTTTTCCATTTGAGCTTACTGTATACAGACTATGAATGAAAAAGAAGGTAGCTGAAAATAGTTGCTTCTCTTTTAATAGCAGATCATGAGGCCAACCTAGATTAGTTCCATGGTTTTTTGTAGAAAACATGTTATAGATGTAATTCACTGACACATTCTTTCTTTACTCTCTTTTTTTTTCAGGCAATACCCCAGGATCACTGGGAGTTACCAGTAGCCAAGAAGGTGAGTAGAGATCACTATCATAAATGCAAATAATTTTTCTAATTAAGGCTTTTAGATGTCTAACCCTCGATCACAAGTTTAGATGCAATTTTTTTTTCTGTTTTTCTTTCTCCTGGAGATCCAGGGAATCAAGTCACCAGAAGTAAATCATGTGCATATAAGAAAAACATCCTCTAACTTAATAAGTAGAGTTTAGATGATTCTAGATCTAAAGAAACGAGATCTATGAGGCAATTTTGACTTTTCTTCCTCACATGTTTTTGAACATGTGATCATGACAGAGTACATTGGAAAACATACCAGGCTTAATGATTGGTGCAAGAGCATTAGTTAAATTTTTTTCTATTGCTTCAGAGAAACAGGAAAACTTGAAAATACCATATTCCTCTTAGGATGACAAAGGCTTTGTGAGGCTTATCCTTCCCTCTTATTACAGGAACCACTGGAGTAGCTTATAGCACAACACTTACTGCTGGAACTTCCAACACGGGTAAGTAAATATTTAATAAGGGGCTGCAAGTAACTAAGCCTTAAAAAAGTAAGATCCAGCACCTGGCTCACAAATGCTGCCAAACTCCTGACTTTATCTCACAGAACTTTGGCATCCATGACTCACAGCATCTCAAACACCTGCATTTTGGTGCCCTTTGCCTCCATTTCTCCTTAATACAACTCACTCTTGTAGCAAAATCCTAACTTTATGTTCACCCAGATTCTCTAATAACCTGAACTTCGGTGACTTTCCTCCCCTGCATATACACGTCCATCCCAACACCTTTCCCAGTCTCCTGAGTTCGTAGTAATTTCTTTTTTTTTTTTTTTCCTTTTTGTCTTTTTCCGTGTCCGGCAACCGATCGCAACCCTCAGTGTCGCCCCCGTACCGGACCGGGACTGGCAACGGGATCGCAACCCTCGGTGTTGCTCCCGCGCCTCGCTCAGCCAGTGAGCGGGAACCGGTCTGTATGTGGGATCCGAACCCTCGGCGGGAGCGCCACCACACTCCCAAACGGCGCACTATAGCAGCAGTGCGCCACCGGGCCGGCCCACCGGTCATCGTTTTTTAAAAAAAAATAAATAAATAAGATCCCTTCACTGGAACTGACTGTATGTTGTAGCATCAACACGGCTGTCTTTACCTCATTCTACTTTGCCTTTCTTAGTGGTGAATGAGGGTCTGTCAGTGGTTTAAATCTGTCGGGTTCTTATAATGACTCCCAGACTTTGCTTTAACATAGGGGAATGTGGGGGGTAAATAAAAAGGGATAGGGAATAGGGCAGAATCTCCTTAGGGAATACCATTTTTCCAGCCTTTAAGGTTGTCTTCTTGTTCTGGTTTCTGGGCCCAGACCAGGGCCTGCAGGTGAGGTCATGAAGGCACACAGGGCATAGTGCTAATGGAGGGAGTAGAGGCTGAAATCCAGCCAACATTCCTCCAACAAGGCATAAACTCATGAGGCCTCATCTGTCCAGAGGGAGGTGTGTGTGTGTGTGTGTGTGTGTGTGTGTGTGTGAGAGAGAGAGAGAGAGAGAGAGAGAGAGAGAGAGAATTACAACTCCATGTGCTCTATGGGATAGCTCCAGTGCTGGCCCAGAATTTCATCCGATTTATTTTCTTATCCTGATGTGGATCTCTGAGGATAAGCATAGGAGCTGTGTCTGATATGAAATGTCTCTCATTTGCTTTTGCAGGCACCACTGTGGACTCAAGTGGAATCACTGGAATTTCAGAAAGTTCCATCCCAGGTAATAGAAATGACTGACCCCAGTGAAGTTTACATCCTCAACATTCTTCTCCCTTTAACACCAAAGTGTTTCAGATAACTAATATTTATGTGTGTGAATGAGTATCAAACATCAATTGTAAAAGAAAAATTGTGCCAGATGGAGTTATACAGGCAAAGAAGACTTTATTCAATAGGTGTAAAACCATCGCAATAGGGGAGAGAGATCGAGCTTAACTCTGTTGCAACAAAAGGCAGGAGTATTTTTAAGTGCTGGGGTGTGCTAATGGAAAAGTACTGGAGGGTGTTTGAGTAGAACTTGATCTCTGTGATTAGCCCATCTATGTTTGCTAATTGACATTTAATCTGGTAAAAATTAGGCACCTACACTCCCACAGAGGTTGGGAGGTAGAGGCACTATTTTTCTTGATAATTACATTTCAAGGGGGTGACTCCCAGGTTCTTGAGAAAGATATTCCTGGGTTATAAAACTAGTGAGAGATTGAGAGAAGATTTACATCTCAAATGGGGCAGAAAAAGAATTTCTAATTACAAGGTTTCTAAAGTAAGTGTTCTCGGAAAGGGGAGGTCAAGGGCCTATAGCTAGGAAATAAAACCTGCCTGAAGTTTAGTGAAACTGAGGGGGACATTAGGTCAACAAGATGTTTTTCTATTTTCTCCTGCCCTCGTAGAACTTCTCTCCCCCCAAAACAAATACAGATGAACCAGGAAACAAATTACATGAAGTAAAAGAGTTAAGTGTGAGAAAAGCTCATGTCATTTAGAGAAGGGGGACCCAGAAGTGAAAACTTTATCAGGGTCCTAGGAGAATATTCATTTCACCTCTAGGAGCATGAGCTAGCATCAGTAGATGCGTTAGCACTCTCCAGGTGCTTCGAGACTCTTGTTCCATGTGGAGATGTCTTAGGGACATGCCCTTCTGAGAGCAGAAAAAGTTCATTGCTCTTCCCTTGCTTATTATAGGGATCTCCAAAGAAGCGTCAGAAACAACCATTGCTCCTGGAATTTCTACCACAGGTAAGTCAAATAATAATAATAAAGGAAGTTTTCTTGGTGGCATCTCAGTAGACAGGATGGCTTATCTGTAGTTCTCACAGAAGTAGAGAGTAGAATAGAATGGTGGTTACCAGGGGTGGTTGCGAGTGGGGAGTTAGGGAGATGATGGTCAAAGGATACAAAATTTCAGTTAGACGGGAGGAATAAGTTCTAGAGATCTGTTGTACAACATGATGGCTAATAGTTCCTAATACATTGTGTTCTTGATAAATGCTGAGAGTGGTTGTAAAGTGCTTATCACACAAGTAAGCGAGGTGATTCATATGTTAAATTAGTTAATTTAGTCATTCCACTATGTATGCTTCCAAACATCATGTTGTATATGATAAATATATTTGTCAAATAAAAGCATAATAAAAATTATTTTAATTTAGAAGACGAAGTCAACCTCTAGCTTCTCAGTCCCCTATATCACCACTTTTGTTCCTCCCTTAGCAGTCACTGCTTCTACGGGAGTCAAAGCAACCTCTGGCACTGGACTGCAGAAAGGTGACTGTTGGCACTACAAACTCTTCAGTGATTATACGCGGACAGAGGCGAGAGAGAGAGGCCAGGAAGATGGTGTTCAATTTCCTTTTGGAGGATGACTTTGCAGTTCAACTAGGGAAACCTTTTTTAGGGTTTTCTTTTTGTATAGGTTTTCACCAGGCTCCCCTCCTGAAGCCTTATCTATGTAGCCTGAGATTTCTAAGAATGGTATTATGAAGGGTGCTTGTCCTGAAACCTTTTATATTTCCTTTTACAGGCTCCACCTCGGTGTCAGCTGGAGTCACGACACACACAGAAGTATCCCAGCCAGGTAAAAAGAAGGGACCCAAGGAAACTGGACTGATTTGTGTGTTCCACACAAAGCATTTCTTGAGCATGAATTTGTGTTGCCATTTGGGCAGACACATGCATAGACTTGCTATATGTATGTGTTCATGTGATAACAAATCACAATACTATCCTTTTATTCCCCCCCCCCCCCCAGAAACCACTGTGGTAGCAACAGGGGATCAAGAAACTGAAAATGAAACAGGTTAGTATGGAAAGACCCCTCATTTCTTTGTTACTATTTCAACTAACATTTCTTTAATACCTTATCTGTGCTAGACTCTGTAGCAGACACTAAAAGCAAAAAACATCAGTAAGATACAGCATTTGCCATTTTATGATATTTTTTTGTGTGTATGGGGGATGGGGAGTAAGTTATTATGGGCACAGATATTATCATTATGGTATATTTAATGATAACCCCAAAATATGTACAAAAATATGGTACTGGAGGGCAGGGTGAGAGTAGAATGTTCACTTCTGCTTATTAGTTGGTAGTGTTGAGTGCAGGCATCGGAAAGGAGATGATCGAGTTTAGTATTGACTGGAGTGGGGAGTGAGCAGGGGATTCCTATGAAATAGCCCTTGAAAAGACAGAGAGAAGAGACTGCAAGGTAAGTTCAGAAATCAACCACATGTTGGCTATGACTATATGAGGTTCAGGAAGGAAATGAAATTGAAAAGGTAAGTAGCAGAAAGTTCACGAAGAACTTTATTTTTAGACTTCAGTGAGACTCTATCCTTATAGTAAATGGGATGCCCTTAAGGATTTTATCAAGAAAATGATGATCAGATTGTTGTTTTAGGGAAATTTTTCTGACAGCAATGTGAAGATTAGAGGATTGTTCTTTATGGCTCCTCTTGCAAATATCTCTAATGAACTCTTAGAATTCTGACCAGGGAAGACTTTCTGCTGTATTTACGCCCAATTGACCATTTCTGTCTCCTGTTACTGGCTTCTGCTAATCTGCTAAGCAGAGCTAGCCTTGCCTCTTTCGGTAAAGAGAAACATTTGATTCCCTGCGTTCCCACACCTTTAATCCATTTCTTATTTATTTTTTGCACTTATTAGTTGTTGGGGTTACTTTAACCTAAACATGTAGAAATTTTAAGTTCTTTTCAAATATTCTGTTGTTCCTAGGCCAGCCTTTTCTTGGTAGATAGAATAAAAATATGAATTCGATTTTTAGCAGTTTTAAAACTGCTTTAGAATTTGAAATTTATGAATGGATTGCTGGGTTGACCAAAATGCACAATGTGCAAGGGTTCAAAAAGATACGTATGACCAGTTTAGAGCATTTGGTGGGATAGGGACAGAGCAAAATTGATGTATTTCAAGA